AATTGATGCATGGAGTGGGTCGACAAATTGACAAGTCTGAGGAGATCACGATGCAACACCTTATTCAGTTACATGTCCTTTGAGTGTTTGTTGCGGACGTTTGCTTCACGAAGATGTCACAGATGACATTGCTTAGAATTTCACCCTTTAGGTATTTATTACACTGTCAAGTGAGCTTATCTCATGCGGTTTGAAGGGATCAACAGTAAGGCTATGTTCAACCCGGAGGGGTGGAGCAATTCCATGCTATCAAGGTGTAAATTGTCCACTATGTTTGTCATTTAAAGTATGGTTTGGATGACCGACCGATTGCGATGCCGGGGATGGCCAAATTGTAGCAAACTCCAACTTCATAGAGCAATGGAGTCGTCGTCTCACATCATTTTGAAAGTTTGGGATTCTTTGGGAGTTTGGAACATGATCCTGGTTCGGCTTGACCTATTGGAGCTTAACATCAACGCCTGGTCTCAGTGTTATGCGATCAAGGATTTGTGGTCTTTCGTCGTAAATCTTCATGGCAACTATAGAAAAAACCTCGCATCATTGTTGGTGCTTGTTTCTAAGAAGTAGTCGGTGAAGTCATCATATGTGTCCTGTATGTTGTAGTTGAAGGCCACGTCCCAAAGCCTGCCAAAATTTAGGCGATGTTCATTTAGAGCATCACAAATGTACTATAGAGACAACCTTTTCTTTAAGGTAGGACCCACATGACTTGCCCTTAACCGAATGAAAAAACATCACAATGTATGGAGACATCAAGTAGCCTCTAAGGTGGACCCTAGCCGAAATTAAAAGTGTGCCAAATAGCATCACATTTATCCAATCAACCACCTCTCTCTAGGATTTACTTTCACTGATAAGTGGGGCCAACTGATTTATTTAATTATTGGAGGCAACATCAAGGTTAGAGACGTCTCTATTTTGTTCTTGTCTTCTTGATTAGAGGCAACCGATGCAGTGCAACGTATAGGTGCTACCTCTAAGAGTTGAGTGTGGGCTTAGAGACAGCAAAATTGATACACTGCTCTTAGCTGTAGATGCTGAGGCATCAACTTTAGACACAGATGCTCATATATATGCACATATACTCACACCCTAT